GAAGGCGGCGTTTTTCCTCTCCAGAAGGGAGTCTCTGCCTCTTCTACCCCAGTTAGGATTGTCCGTTGTTGCAGGAGTTCCTCTCATCCAGTTTTCAGTTCTGTCTCTGGGGTAATTTTTCCACGAGTAGTTGTAAATTGGCTGTGTCCACGGGAGGAGGTGAGTTCCGAGTCTGCTTACGCTGCCATCTTGATTCCTCTCTCTCCATTTATTTTAGATCTTTAATTTCTCAGCAATATTTTATAGTTCTCAGTGTATAAGTCTCACATATCTTTTGCCATATTTATCCCTAAGTATTTCATATTTTTATCCTATTATAAATGGTATTTTCTAAAAACTTCTATTTCCCACTGGAGAGTTGGTTTTTTTTGTGTGTGTGTGAGGAAGGTCATCCCTGAGCTAACATCTGATAAGAATCCGCCTCTTTTTTTTTTTTTTTTTTTTGCTGAGGAAGATTGGCCCTGAGCTAACATCCGTGCCCATCTTCCTCCACTTTATATGTGACGCCGCCACAGCATGGCCTGACAAGCAGTGTGTCGGTGAGCGCCCGGGATCCAAACCTGCGAACCCCGGGCCACCAAAGTGGGGAGAGCACACTTAGCCACTTGCACCACCGGGTGGCGCCCCCATTGGAGAGTTTTGAGCAGAAGAATAATATGATCTGACTTCTGTTTTAACAAAATCACTCTGGATTTTCTATCGATATGGAAAGGAGGGTGAAGGTAAAAGCATGAATACCAGTTAGGAGGATATTGAAATAATTTTAGTAAGACAAGTGGGTATGGTGGCTTGAACCCTAGTGGTGGCAGTGTGGTTGATAAGAAGAGGTGGAATTCTGGATGTATATTGAGGTGGAGCCTTCATGATACACTGACAGATTAGATGTGTGTGTGAGAGAAAGAGAGGAATCAAGGATGACTTCAGGGCTTTTGACCTGAGCAGCTTAAGTATGGAATTGCTATTAAACTGAGATGGGAAAGACTATAAGTAGAGGGCCGGCCTGGTGGCTTAGTGGTTAAGTGCGAGCGCTCCACTGCTGGCAGCCTGGGTTTGGATCCCGGGTGCGCACCGACGCACCGCTTCTCTGGCCATGCTGTGGCCACGTCCCACGTACAGCAACTCGAAGGATGTGAAGCTATGACATACAACTATCTACTGGGGCTTTGGGGGAAAAAAATAAATAAAGTTATAAAAAAAAAAAAGACTATGAGTGGAAAAGGTTTGGGGGAGGTGATTATGAGTTTAGTTTTGGTCAACCTAAGTTTGAGTATAAGCCTAGAGATGAGGAGAAGAGTCTGAGATGGACATATAAATTCAGGAGTTAGCCTATAGATGATATCTAAAGCCTTGAGACTAGATGAGATCACCAAGAGAGTGAATATGGGTAGGAAAAAGAAAGAGGTACATGGACTGTGTCCTGTGCCACTCCCAAGTTTTAGAGATTGGGAGATGAAGAGGAGCTATATGTTATGCTATATGTCTAATCTTTTAAATTATATCATTAGAAAAAATAATTAACTGTCAGGACCCAGAGAATTCCAAAAGTGTGGGCATTGGCCCATCTCCAGGACTAATTTATTTTAAATTGTTATTTTTTATTATGAACATGTTTTTAAAAATTGCATATCTTAAAGTATTTGAGACGTAAACCTACAAGGAGGGAAACATTACTGGATTACCATAGAAAATGAGTAAATAGTCCAATTCCTAAGATTATCATTGGTGGGGCTTTTGTTTATTCTCAGTTGACAAACAGGATGCTAATAGTGTTCACTGTGCGATGGGCTGACGCAGATGATAATGAAATAACATTAGACATTTGAGTTACAGTAGAGTAGGAGTTTATGAGATGACTGAAATTAGTGGGAGGGCTATCTTAATGCCAAGGAAGAAAAATATATCTAATACCGTCATTCTCCTGTAGAAGAAGAGGAGGTGACATACACTGTCGTCAATCAGTTCCAACAGAAGTTTGGTGCTGCAGTAAGTATTGCCACATCATTTCCAGTATTGTCTGTATATGGGTCTCATGTCTATGTCTTATAAATTTCTCTCTTATTATAAGATCATTGATGTTTTCTCTAATAATTCAACAAAATATATTAGCACCTGCTATTTGCCACACATTGCTCTGAGGTTTGGAGTAAAACAATAATCAAGACAGGGCCAGCCTAGTGGTGTAGTGGTTAAAAGTTTGCGCACTCTGCTTCGGTGGCCCAGGGTTCACAGGTTCGGATCCCGTGCGTGGACCTATGCACGGCTCATCAAGCCATGCTGAGGCGGTGTCCCACATAGAGCAACTAGAATGACGTACAACTATGACATACAAGTGTCTGCTGGGGCTTTGGGGAGAAAAAAAGGAAAAAGAAGGAGGAAGTTTGGCAACAGATGTTAGCTCAGGGCCAACTTCCCTCAAACAAAAAAAAAATAATTAAAATAATAAAAATGGTTAAAATGGTAAATTTAAGGGAAAAAAAACAATAATCAAGACCAAGTTCCAGCCCTCAAGGAACTTACCTTTTTTTTTTTTTTTTTTGGTGAGGAAGATTAGCTCTGTGCTAACATCTGTTGCCAATCCTCCTCTTTTTGCTGAGAAAGATTGTCCCTGGGCTAACATCCGTGCCCATCTTCCTCTATTTTATATGTGGGATGCCTGCCACAGCATCACTTGATAAGAGGTGTGCAGGCCCGTGCCCGGGATCCGAACCTGCAAACCCCAGGCTGCAGAAGTGGAACGTGCGAACTTAGCTGCTACACCACTGGGCCAGCTCCATGGGAGCTTACATTTTAATGCAAGAAAATAAACAAATAATTGTATATCAGCTGGTGATAAGTGCTATGAAGAAAAATAAAGTGTGGTATGGCGAACAGAGTGACAAGGAGTTACTATTTTACGTAGGGTGGACAGAAGAGGTGACATTTGAACAGAGACCTGAAAGAAGTAGTGGAGCTGCCATGTGGATATCTAGGTAAAAAACTTAAAGAAGGAGTAATTAGCAAGTGCAAAGGCCCTGAGGCTGAAGCACACTTGAACAGCAGGGAGGTCAGTGTGGCAGGACCACCGTGAAGAAGAGGGATAGGGAATGGAAGGGAGCAGGAGGCAGATCAGGTAGGGCTTTTTAGACATTATAAGGATTTTGAGTTTGACTTGAGTGAGATGGAAAGCCATTGGCAGTTTTAGAGGAGAGTCAAAAATTTTTTTAGTTATATTTTGAAAAGACCATTCTAGATGCTCTATTTAGGCAATTTCTCTATAATCATTTATTAATTTGAGATGTGGCAGTAACTAATTATTCAGCCTAGGGTATGGCTTGCAGATAGACTTCAGGAGAGTCATTAAGCTTTCTGTTGAGATGCATGCTTATGCTGGTTATGCATGGGTGCATTTTCTAAGGGAGAGTTAGCTTTCAACAGATTCTTCTTTTTTTTTCTTTTTCCTTTTTTTTTTGTGAGGAAGATCAGCCCTGAGCTAACATCCGTGCTAATCCTCCTCGTTTTGCTGAGGAAGACCGGCTCTGAGCTAACATCTATTGCCAATCCTCCTCCTTTTTTTCCCCCAAAGCCCCAGTAGATAGTTGTATGTCATAGTTGCACTTCCTTCTAGTTGCTGTATGTGGGACGCGGCCTCAGCACGGCCGGACAAGCGGTGTGTCAGTGCACGCCCGGGATCCGAACCCGGGCCGCCAGCAGCGGAGCGTGCACACTTAACCACTAAGCCACGGGGCCGGCCCCAGATTCTTCTTTTTTTTTAACAGCTTTATTGAGATGTAATTCACATGTCATAAAATTCACCAATTTAAAATGTATACTTCACTGTCTTACAGCATATTCACTGAGTTGCATATCCATCATGACAGTGAATTTTAGAACATTTTCAATAACCCAAAAAGAAGCCCCATATTCCTTAGCTGTCATCTCCAACTCCTTCCCAGCCCCCTAGCCCCTGGCAACCACTAATCTATTTTCTGCCTCTATGGATTTGCCTGTTTAGGACATTTCATATAAATGAGATAATACAATATGTGGTCATATGTGGCTGAATTCTTCTGCTTAGCATAACATTTTGAAGATTCATCTATGTTACAGCTTGTATCAGTAGTTCTCTTATTTTTATTGCCAAATAATATTCCTTTTTATGGGTATACCACATTTCATTTATCCTTTCACCGTTTGATGGACATTTGAGTTGTTTCTGCTTTTTGGCTACTATCAATAATGCTGCTGTGAACATTCATGTACACGTTTTTTGTGTGGACATATGTTTTCATTTCTCTTGTATAGATACCTAGGAGTGGAATTGCTGAGTCATATAGTAACTCTCTGTTGAACTTTTTGAGGATTGGCCATACTGTTTTCCAAAGCTGCTACACCATTTTACGTTCTTAGCAACAGAATACGAGGGTTCCAATTTCTCCACAGTCTTATCAACGCTTGTTATGGGTCATTTTGATTATAGCCATCCTAGTGATATAAAGTGGTATCTCATTGTGGTTTTGATTTGCATTTCTCTGGTGGCTAGTAATGTTAAGCATCTTTTCATGTGCTTTTTGGCCATTTGTATATCTTCTTGGGAGAAATGTCTATTTCTTTGCCCATTTTTAATTGAGTTATAAGAATTCTTTAGGGGCTGGCCCAGTGGTGTAGTGGTTAAGTTTGTGTGCTTCGCTTTGGCAACCCAGGGTTCACGGGTTGGGATCCCAGGCGTGAACCGACACACCGCTTGTCAAGCCATGCTGTGGTGGCATCCCGTATGAAGTAGGGGAAGATGGGCACAGATGTTAGCCCAGGGCCAATCTTCCTCAGCCAAAAGGAGGATTGGCAACAGATGTTAGCTCAGGGCTAATCTTCCTCACAAAAAAAAAAGAAAAGAAAAAGAATTCTTTATATATCAACAGATTCTTTAAAGGGTCAATGACAACAACAAAAAAATGGGATAAGAACTTTTGCTCTGGGAATTTGAAGAGGTAGTTGGAAATTCTTATTATTAGGGAAATACACCTTTTGTTCTCACTTGTTCAGCTTTCTTAGTGTTGATTAAGAATGGAATTGAAATTCAGTCTCCTTTTTTCATCACTGACGAAAAATACTGAGAATGTAGAATACATTGTGCTCTCTAAAGGAAGATATTGTACTAGTATGAGTTACCATGCTCTTCTATTCTTGAGTAATTTACTTACCTGCAAAATGAGGAGAATCTTGTTTCATATAGATATTTTCATGGATTATGAATTAAGGGTCTTAGAATTGTATAATGTTTTGAAATAGGATAAGATTATAAATAATCAAAGGACCAGCCTGTGCACCCAGGATACCACCATTTCAGTTTTGAGTAATTTAATGAATCCAAGACTAAGGGACCTGTTGAGTCGTTGTTTCTTTCATTCTAAACGGTAGATACTGTGAGACTCAGCCGCTATGTGAGTTCCTTTCAGCTACAGTAAATTGCCCTGTGTTAGCGCACTGTTCTTTGCTTGAGGAATCTGGTCGTAAAGACTAGAAACCTTTTTCTGTAGCATTAGTGGTAACAAAAGTTATCTGAGTTTTCAAATTTTATTAACATTTGGGGTATGAATGGTTTATTTTCCAGTTGTGAAATAATTTTGCAAAAACTAAAAAGAGGATCAGAAGCATTCAGTGTGATTTGTGTGTGTGTGTGTATGAAGCAGACTCCTGTTTTGGATTAGTCAAATTTCATAAGTTTAAAAAATTTGTTTATTGCTAGCCATTTCACTTGTGCCATTCATGAGGTCATAATTGCAGCATTTATTCTCTGGAGGTTTTTATTTTCTTCCCTTTCTCACCAGATGCTCCACATCAAGAAGCAGAGTGTCCTGAGTGTGGCAGCAGAAGGAACTAATGTGTGTCGTCATGGGAAACTATGTTGGCTTCAGGTAAAAGACAGAATTTTTAAAACTTTTTATTTTGAAATAATTGTAGATTCATTGGTAAATTTATTTTAATTGTCTTCTTTATGTCACCCCAGTGTCACTATTTTAACTCTCTTCTTTATGTCACCCCAGTGTCTATAACTTGTTTGGAATGTCTTTTTTCTAGTACTGAGTTAATTCTTTTCAAAAAGAAAGAGCCTCTGTCTCTTTGTAGGTTCACTTTTATAATCATTGTTGCTGTCTCACAGGCTCTGCTTGACGACTTCTTTCCCAGCTCTGTTCTCGCACCTTAGGTACACGAAGAGTTTCTTATCTTTCCTTCTCGTTGGTAGCCTTCCACAGCAAGTTTCTGCCACATCATTTTCATTTTTATGGACCTGGGAGATGTCAGATGAGGGTCCCTAATATATCAAAAGAAGTTTGTAGTGAGCCCTGAATAGCTAGAGGATGGTTAGGCACCTTTGGCTCAAACTCAGCAGCATCAGTATTTAAGGAGGGGCAAGAAAGCAAGCTGACTCCCCAACCAATGTCTTCTATCCTTTGAGTCAGGACCTGCCTCCCTCTACTGAGAGAATATTTTTTATAAGGATTGGGAATCTGCCCTCTTAAACTCCTCCCTCTGGAATGTTCGCCTTCTCAAAGGGAAAGGAATGGAGGTATCAAGCCCAGTTTTGCCCAGGATTAGATCACTTCTCTTGTTCTATGCACTTTCTAGGTAAACCATAGCTTTTAGATGACTAGGTTTGAGTTAGCAGCACAAATGCAGATTACTTAAAACAAACCTCCACAAGCAACAAAAGCAAAAATAAACAAATGAAACTACATCAAACTAAAAAGCTTCTGCACAGTAAATAAAGGATCAACAAAATGAAAAGGCTACCTGTGGAATGGGAGAAAGTATTTGCAAATCATATATCTGATAAGGGGTTAATATCCAAAATATATAAGGAACTCATACAACTCAATGGCAACAATATAAATAATCCAATTTAAAAATGGGCAAAGGACCAGAATAGACATTTTTCCAAGGAAGATATACAAAATTCCAACAGATATATGAAAAAGTGCTCAACATTGCTAATCATCAAGGAAATGCAAATCAAAACCGCAATGAGATATCACCTCACACCTGTTAGAATGGCTATTATCAAAAAGACGAGAGGGGCTGGCCCCGTGGCTTAGCGGTTAAGTGCACGTGCTCTGCTACTAGCGGCCCTGGTTCGGATCCCGGGCATGCACCGACACACCGCTTCTCTGGCCATGCTGAGGCCGCATCCCACATACAGCAACTAGAAGGATGTGCAACTATGACATACAACTATCTACTGGAGCTTTGGGGGAAACAAAAAAGGAGGAGGATTGGCAATAGATGTTAGCTCAGAGCCGGTCTTCCTCAGCAAAAAGAGGAGGATTAGCATGGTTGTTAGCTCAGGGCTGACATTCCTCACACACACACAAAAAAAGACAAGAGACAACCAGTGTTGGCTAGGATATAGAGAAAAGGGAACAACCCTTCTACACTGTTGGTGGGAATGTAAATTGGTGGAGCCACTGTGGAAAACAGTATGGAGGTTGCTCAAAAAATTAAAAATAGAACTACCATATGGTCCAGCAATCTTACTTCTGGGTATATATCCAAAGGAAATGAAAGCAGGATCTTGAAGAGATACCTGCATTCCCATGTTTATGTTGCAGCATTATTTACAATAGCCAAGACATGGAAACAAACTAAGTGTCTATGGATGAATGAATGGATAAAGAAAATGTGGTATATGTGTACAATGGAGTCAGCCATAAAAAAGAAGGAAATCCTGCAATTTGTGACAACATCGATGAACCGGGAGGGCATTATGCTAAGTGAGATAAGTCAGACAGAGAAAGACAAGTACTGTATGCTCGCACTTATATGTGGAATCTAAAAAAACCAAACTCACAGAAACAGTATGTTGGTGGTTGCCAGGGGTAAGGGAGTGGGGGAAATGAGTGAAGGTGGTCAGAAGGTACAAACGTCCAGTTATAAGATAAATAAGTTCTGGGAATCTAATATACAGCATAGTGATTATAGATAACAATACTGTATTGTATACTTGAAAGTTGCTGAGATAGTAGGTCTTAAAAGTTCTCACCACAGGGAGCCGGCCTGGTGGTGCAAGCGGTTAAGTGCGCGTGCTCCGCTGCGGCAGCCCGGGGTTCGCCGGTTCGGATCCCCCCGGCGCGCACCAACGCACCACGTGTCAAGCCATGCTGTGGCGGCATCCCATATAAAGTAGAGGAAGATGGGCGTGGATGTTAGCCCAGGGCCAGTCTTCCTCAGCAAAAAAAGAGGAGGATTGGCAGATGTTAGCTCAGGGCCGATCTTCCTCACAAAATAAATAAATAAATAAAAAATAAAAGTTCTCCCCACACAAAAAAGATAACTATGTGAGATGATAGATGTAACTACCCTTACTGTGGTAATCATTTCACAGTATATACTTATATCAAATCATTACAACTTAACTTGTACAACTTAAACTTACACAATGTTATATGTTAATTTTATGTCAATAAAGCTGATGGGAAAAGAAACCAAACCAAAACCTCTCTCTACTAGAACAAAAGGGTGGACTTCCTCGTAATGCAGGCCTGGGCAGCTCTAGTTATTTCCTGATTTGTCCCATTTGGTTGTCTATGTACCAGAGGGGACATCTAGTTGATTACAATTGTCCTCTTGTGAGTGGAAGCACATTAATGGGCACATTTTCTCCAACCAGGTCTTTGGGCTTGTGTGTTTAATTTTTTTAATCAGAGTATCACATACCCTATGTATTAGAAACAAAAAAAAATCAAATACAGTCATGTGTCACTTAACGATGGGGTACATTCTGAGAAATGCATCATTAGGCGATTTCTTCATTGTGTAAACATCATAGAGTGCACTTACACAAACCTAGATGGTATAGCCTACTACACACCTAGGCTGTATGGTACTAATCTTATGGGACCACCGTCATATATGCGATCTGTTGTTGACTGAAGGCTTATTATGCAGTGCATGACTGTAATGGTACAAAGGCTTATAAGGAAAGAAAAGCACTTTGACAAATGTTATCTCATTTACATTTTTCATTTCATTCTTCTGGGAGCCCTGTGATGTGAATCTTAGTCGGTTTGATATTGTTCCATGAGACCCTTAAGCTGTCTTCATTTTTTTCCTTCTTTTTTCTTTTTGCTTCTCTGATTGGGTGAATTCCACTGCTTTGTCTTCAAGTTGACTGATCCTTTCTTCTGCTTCATCTAGTCTGCTGTTGAACCCCTCTAGTGTATTTTTCAGTTCAGTTATTGTATTTTTCAGCTCTATGACTGCTTATATTTTCTTGTATTTTCCATCTCTCTATTGAAGTTCTCATTATATTCATCCATCCTTCTCCCCAGTTCAGTGAGGATCTTTATGACCATTACTTTGAACTCTTTATCAGGTAAATTACTTATCTCCATTTTGTTAAGGCTTTTTTCCTGAGGTTTTATTTTGTTCTTTCTTTTGGGACGTATTCCTTTGTTTCTTCATTGCTTGAATCTCTGTGTTGGTGAAGGTGTAGCCTCATGTAGGAGTTGAACCTTGTTGTTAACCCTGCGTCAGCTCCTGGTTGTCTCTCAAACCTCTGTGCTTGTCCAAGCAGCCTATTTTATTTTTAATAGCTCCCAGTAGTTAAGGGTGTCCCAAGGCCTGTTAGTGTCCCAAAGGGGAGGATCTCAGCACCTAGATTCAGGCTGACTGGAAGCCCGACCCTTAGATATCAGCTCTTAAAAGTACACAAATATATAGTCCTGTGGGACCACAAGCATAAGCCCTGCTGGCCACCAGAGCCAGGTGATCTGGAAGTGTCCCCTGAACAGCAGTCACAGAAATAGGGCTTCCAGACAAGTACATAAACTCTTTTCTGGGTGATACCAGTGAGCTGGAGCAAGGCAGAGGGAGAGCACCAAGATGGCATCCACAGCCTACGTTCCTTGAGAGAAGCTCCACAGGCCACTAAATGTGTGCCAAGCCTGAAGTCTGTCCCTCAGGCCAAAGCTCTAGGACAAGCAAAGAGGTCTTCCTCACAGAAACACTGGGAAGTGTGCCCCAGTCCACTGTCTGTGCAGTGCCCTGGGGGTGGCAGCCTGCCAAGGACCATCTGATTGCCACAGTCCCATAGGACCCAGGAATGCAAGCCCCCTGGCAACCAGAGCCAGATGATCAAGGGGTTTCCTCTGAGTGGCAGCTGTAAAAACTGGGGCACCAGACACAAGAAAATATAGAGGCAAGTATTTTCAACATGTTGAAGTGTTTCTACTATTTTCCTTTTTCTAGTAACACACTTATTGCTCTCTCTTTATTCATCAGTTTTACAAATTATCTATTAACTTTTATTATGGTAAATAAAGATTTTGCTCCCTTATAGCACCCACACCTCCCTAGATCCTCCCAATTTAGTTACATCCCAAGTTTTGGTTAAGACAGGATTCAGGCTCTATGTGATTATGATGGTATAACTGTTGCTCCCTGCTGAGCCACGTAAGATTGTTTCTTTTCTTGCACAACTTTTTGTTTTTCATAGAATTGATAATTGCCTCATCTTATCAGCTTTGTATTCTTTGCACCTGTGACTGAGCCTTCCCATATCTTCCCCTCGGTATAGTTTTTCGTCATGCTTCCATCCATCCCGCTAACCTATGTTGCATTTTTGTCTTGATGCCATCTTCCCTGGAGCCCTCTATCCTCCTGTTCCAATACGGCTGGTGTTCTAAAGGCTGGAAGCTTCAAGAGCAGAGGTCTAGAGGCTCACAATTCAGTGTGCAAACTTTCATTTTTCAGTCAGCTGCCAAGCCCCTGCCCTCCTCTGTCTTACATTCCAGAGCCTTTCTGGTTGGATTGATCCAGAGAATGTATCTTCTGTCCTCTGTGGGAGGGGGAGGGGAGTGGCTGGGGGTAACTTGGCACCTTCCTTCTCCTTATACAGACCTCCAGCCCATCCCCCTATGTCCAGCTCCTCACTTTTCTTAGTATCTGCACCTTTAATCCCTAAGCCTTTATTTTGTGTTTTTTTTTTTGTTTCTTTCTTCTGTTTTGTTTTCCCTAATGTGTTTCCTTTCTGTCAGTATTTCCCACTGCTTTTCTTCAACTTTCAATTATTTAAATGGGACTGGCCCCGTGGCTTAGCGGTTAAGTGTGCGTGCTCCACTGCTGGCGGCCCAGGTTCGGATCCCGGGTGCGCACTGACGTACCGCTTCTCTGGCCATGCTGAGGCCGTGTCCCACATACAGCAACTAGAAGGATGTGCATCTATGACATACAACTATCTACTGGGGCTTTGGGGGAAAAAATAAATAAATAAATAAAATTAAAAAAAAAACAATTATTTAAATGTTTAACCTTCACCTGTGGTCAGATATTTTCAGATATGATAATATAAGATGAAGATAGCAACTATTTGTTAAGAATCATAAAATTTTTTTATATCCTTTGGCTCACTTCTTAGGGCTACTTCTAGGAGTCTATCCTAAATAATTCAAAATATGAAGAAAAAATTATATGAGAACCTATTCACCTTGGCATCATTTATAATGGTGAAAAATCAAAAACCACTTAAATAGTTAACAGTAGGAGACGTTACAGTACATTTGATAGATCTTATGTGGCTGCCAAAAATTGATGACGAGTGCAACATACAAAAATGTTTGAAAATTTGTGAGTGGAACAAACAGGATATAGATTTGAATGCATATTATTAGAGCCATATACATTTTTTGCATATGCAAAAATGGAAGAGAGGGTTGTATGGCATGCATTGATTCACTGAAGAAATGTTTAACAGCATCCATATGCCTGGCTCTGTTCTAGTTATTGCATGTAAATGGTGAATCTGACATAATCTCTTCTCTCACAGAGTTTACAATCTAGCAGAAATTATTTTCCAAACTTTTATAATGTGTCCCTTCAATTTTTATAATTAAGATATAGAAAAAAAGAGCAGGGATTGACTTTTTTAGGTGTCAAATGCTAGCAAACAACGTGCAAGTTCTGCGAATGGGTGCCAGGCAGGCCTGACAGTGGTAGCTGTATCAACAGTTAACTCCCGAAATGACAAAGATGGCATCAGATTGCCATCTGACTGGCCCCCTAGACCTATTTGGATCTTTTTTTTACCTTCATTCTCTGGCTCAGTAGATGATCCAGCTGTACTGCCTTTGTGACGTTTATGATCAGTAACAATCTAGAATTCTTATAATTGTATAAAATTGATCTAAAAAGCAGTGTTTCACATCCTAACATTTGTGCCTGTGTATTTGTTGGCTGTTTTAAACTGCTAGAGGGCAGGGAATCTTCTCTTATGAGTGATTTTTGGTAACAACACAAGCATGCATATTATGGAACTCAGAGAAATAGTATTTTGTGTTGTTAACAATGAAATGCTGTTCATTCCCCTTAAACCTATAACCCCTGGGGTATTAGGATGTCATAGATGAGATGTAAAACGTTAAATTTGGGACTGTAAAGAGCGAAAGGCTAAATCACCAGCTTGTCTGTTTTTTTTCCTTTTGAAAATGACAGCGATAGCGTCTTTTTTAACTTAAGATCAATTTAAACCTGTTTTCTCTGAGAAACATTGAGTGCCTATTGTTTACAACTGAGGATGTTAAATATGTTATCACATGTCTTTCTTGATCCTTCCCTAGTTCTTTTTTATCCTATAATTTGTGTGTCTGGATGGTCTATTGCAGGTGGCCACAAATAGCCGAGTTTACTTATTTGACATTTTCCTTCTGGGAAGTCGTGCTTTCAACAATGGACTTCAGATGGTATTAGAAGACAAGAGAATTTTGAAGGTAAGTGTGTAAGCTAATTCCTCTGCTAGTAATATAAGCAGCCAGGTCCTAATTACTCTGTCTCTATCTTCTGATTCCTTAGGTTATCCATGATTGTCGTTGGCTTTCCGATTGCCTCTCTCATCAGTATGGAATTTTGCTGAATAATGTCTTTGACACACAGGTACATGCAGGGAAACACTGAATTCCATCCAGTGTACATAACTCCTGTAGAAAATAGGCCTCATCTGATGAGTGATTGAAAGTCTTTTTGTGTGTGCCTCATTCCCACCCACTTCTCTTGTAAAATATTTGTACAATATGTGAGAACATTTGGTGAACTGTAAAAGCACTGCAGAAAAGTTACTTAAAAGTATTTTGGGGGGCCGGCCCCATGGCTTAGCGGTTAAGTGCACGCGCTTTGCTGCTGGCGGCCCAGGTTTGGATCCTGGGCGCGCACCGACGCACCGCTTCTCTGGCCATGCTGAGGCCGAGTCCCACATACAGCAACTAGAAGGATGTGCAGCTATGATATACAACTATCTACTGGGGCTTTTCGGGGGAAAAGTAAATAAATAAAATGTTAAAAAAAAAAAAAGTATTTTGGATTTTTTTCCTCATTTGTCTCCAGAATTTGTCAAATAAGAAGCCAGCTCCATACTCTGTAGCATTCAGAGACTCGAACAATTTGGGGGTCATTCAGAAGTCTGCCATGGGACACTTAGTGTAAGGCGACCAGTCACATCTCTGCCTTGACCACGTATGAATCAGTTAAGGCTTGTGGCTAGTTGGCATCTAGCTCAGGGATGCAGGTTGTCCTAGATATGTGTAAAAAGCCTGTTCTCCCAATAATAGCCTGAAGATATGTGATTTTTCTCTGATCTGAAGGACCCTAGAGAAACGAGAAATTCCAGACTATGCTAGCTCTTAGAGCTGATCTGGGTTTCCGGTTTGGCTGTGAGAGCAGTAAAACCACTAGTTTTTATTAGGTGCTTCTAGTCTTCTAGGTTATACCAGTGAAAAGGAGATCTTGAATATATAAAGGCCTAGAGCCTTTGGAGAGGAGTTAAAATAGTGAGCTGGCCAATTATTTTTGAACAGCAATTCCTAAAAATTCAATTTTATGTGATTATATGTGGTTCAAGTTTGTTCTTTATGTATCTGCTCACAAGGAACGTTATGCACTTCTCTTGTTTACATGTTCCTTTGGGCCTTCTTTCTGCATCTTTCCCTATATAGAGATTGCTTCAGTGCTTACTCTAAATGTAAGAGAATTGCTCATTGTTCTCTGGAGGCCATCAGGCCTCTTGATTAGACCCCACATGTGTTGTCTAATGAAGACATTGGCATATCTTTCCATGTCTTTCTTTTCAGATTTCCATAGTGCAAGAAGCAGGAATTCAGAATTTTTCATTTGTTTTCCTTTAACATAGCGTATTAGTTTCCTATTACTGTTGTAACAAATTACCACAAATTTAGTGGCTTAAAACAACATCAATTTACTCTCTTACAGTTCTGGAGGTTAGAAGTCTGAAATAGTTTTCACTGGGCAAAAGTCAAGGTGTCAGAGGGCTGGTTTCTTCTGGAGGCTCTGAGGGGAGAGTCTGTTTTCTTGCCTTTCCAGCTTTCACCGGTTTTCTTTGGCTTGTGGCTCCTTCTATCTTCAGAGTGCATCACCCCAAGCTCTGCTTCCATCATCACATCACTTCTACTCTGACTGTAGTAAAATCTCCCTCTGCCTCCATCTTATAGGAACACTTGTGATTACATTTAGGGCCCATGTGGATAATTCAAGATAATCTCCCTATCTCAAGATCTTTAACTTAATCACAGCTGCAAAGTCCATTTTGCCGTATAAGATAACATTCACAAGTTCCAGGGGTTAGGATGGGGATGTCTTTGGAGGCCATTATTTAGCCTACCACACATAGATAAATAATTATTCCAATTCTTAATTTTATTTGCCATCCTTACCAAAACTTGACCAGAGTTGCTAATAAGTAATAAAAATCATTCTTGAATTTTATCTTCCTTTCCCCATTCCCCAAAGGCACTAAAGAGTAATAAATAACCATAAGGCAGGCAAATAAAAGTGGAAAAGTAGACAAGAACACGTTAAAGTTGGGTGATCCTTTTTTTTCTAATTTTTTAGAGTAAGTTGACTGAACAACTTTAAATTTTCTGATGGCATTGTCTATCCTGTGGGTCCTTGGGAAAAATAGTACTTACATTTCTCTACTTATATTTCTGCCATGAGATAGCTCTTTCCATATATTCCATGGACTGGTCTCTCTTTTTTTAATGCCACAGGTCGCAGATGTCTTTCAATTTTCCGTGGAAACAGGCGGCTTTCTTCCAAACTGCATCAGTACTTTACAGGAGAGTTTAATCAGACACCTTAAAGTAGCCCCTAAATATCTCTCCTTTCTGGAAGAGAGACAAAAACTGATTCGGGTGAGTATTAAAGAATGTCCCGGATGACATTAATTTTTTCAAGTGTTTTGTGAGAGGGATTATTAGCATATTATATAGAGAAATGACAGCTGCCATGTAAGCATATGAGCATTGCCAAAATCTTAGTTGTTCTAAATGGGAACAGTTTGTTTGTGCTCTCAAGTGGATGAAAGCCAGGATCCAGATTTGTTGGTTATCAATTAAAAAGTACTCTGAAAGAAATTCTCAAGTTGGGACAAGGGGGAATTTTGTTGGGAATTTGGATTAAGGCAATGGAACTAAATCAGCCCGATTATTTCTCCCAAAGTAAGGTAGATTTTCTTTAGCTCCAATAGCCTTGCATACAAACTTAGGTCATGACCATATTGGCTACAACTTTGGCCATATAATCAAGTCTGCTGCCTCCAGTTTTTAATGAGAAGTCTTAATATCTCTCTCTCTTTCTCTCCATCTCCCCCCAATCTTCCCCTCTCACATATACACACACACTGTATACACACATAAAGTGTGTGTGTGTGTATGTATTCTTAGAAGTCTAGCCATAGCGTGAAAGAAGGTAATAATTGAAGAAAACGACAGTAATAGTGTTTTAAGTTAAGCAACACTTGGATAAACAGTTATTTTCTTTAAAGTTTTGCTTACTATTCAGAGAAAATTGTTTTGGTGTCTCTAGGAAAATCCAGAAGTGTGGTTCACACGACCTCTTTCACCTTCTTTACTGAAAATTTTGGCCCTGGAAGCTACCTACCTGCTGCCCCTTCGCTTGGTACTCCTGGATGCGATGATGTCTGACCTAACCTGCCTGGTGGACGGGTACCTGAACACCTACCGGGAAGGGTCCGCAGACCGGCTTGGAGGCATGGAGGTAGGTGCAGCTCTCCGTGGTGGTGCCGTCAGGACTTCCACTTCTGCCTTATTCCTCAGGAAGGGCACAGTAATATCCACTCTTCACAGCCGCAACAAATTTCTTTCAGCAGACTTGGTAATAAATATTCTTGAAGCTGCTGTAGCTTGGGCTTAATCCCTCTCCTTGAGCCCCTTTTCACTGTATTAAGTTATGTTTCCAATAAATATTTCTGTCAAAGAAAGGGTAAGTTTAAGATTTCATTAGTTATAATGAAGCCAGCACAATGTTAGAAAACTATAGACCAGGAGTCAGCAAACTATTGCCCTAAGGCCAAATCTGGCCCACGGTCTGTTTTTTGTACAGCTCACAAGCTAAGAAGGGTTTTTATGGTTTTAAAGATTTTATTTATTCATTTTTTTCCCCCCAAAGCCGCAGTAGATAGTTGTATGTCATAGGTTCACATCCTTCTAGTTGCTGTACGTGGGACTCGGCCTCGCGTTGGACGGAGAAGTGGTGCCTCGGGGCGCGCCCGGGATCCGAACCCGGGCCGCCAGCATCAGAGCGCGCGCACTTAACCGCTAAGCCACAGAGCCGGCCCTGGTTTTAAAGGATTGTAAAAAACAAGAGAAGAAGAGTATGCAACAGAGACCATTTATAGTTCACAAAGCCTAAAATATTTACTATTTGGCCACTTACATAAAGTTTGCAGGCTGCTGCCATAAACCAATCTCACTTAGGAATACTGATGCAAAATCCTAAATAAAATAATAGCATTTTGGGTACAAACTCTTAGATGTATTATACTTTTCTTTTAATGAGTCGCTGGATTCTGGTTGCGAGTATGATTCACTGTTAGGAAATTCTCCATTTTACCAGAGCCAAGAAAATCCTATGATTAACTCATGAATGCTGAAAAAAGTTATTTTATAACCTTTTTGTATTTTGCTCTCACTGTTAACAAAAAAAGAACAAGATAAAAATCCTCGCATACTTTGTTCTATTGGAGAATTTTAATGTTTTTCATTTATCATTGTAAAACCAAGGACAGTTTTATAACTTTTTTGTATTTTGCTCTCACTGTTTAATGCTGAAAAAATTTGATATTATTCTATATACATTAATGATTAAAATTGGAATAGATACTTTAACACAACAAAACATATATCTTAAGCAAGAAGACGACATAATGTTTGATTGGGAACACTGAAAGCTTTACCATTAATATTAAGACAAATACAAAAAAGGTGACTATCACCACTACTTTAGCATATTTTGAAGCTATTAGCCAATGAAATTAGAAAACAACAAGATGAACTATAAAAATTGAATAGGAGGAGTCGGAATTATGGCTTGCCTATGATACAACTGAAAACTGAAGAGAATCAACTGAAAAAGACTACCACAGGGGCTGGCCCCATGGCTTAGCGGTTAAGTGCACATGCTCCGCTACTGGCGGCCCGGGTTCGGACCCCAGGCGCGCCTGACGCACCGCTTCTCCGGCCATGCTGAGGCCGCGTCCCACATACAGCAACTAGAAGGATGTGCAACTATGACGTACAACTATCTACTGGGGCTTTGGGGGAAAAAAAAAAAGGAGGAGGATTGGCAATAGATGTTAGCTCAGAGCCGGTCTTCCTCAGCAACAAGAGGAGGATTAGTACGGATGTTAGCTCAGGGCTGATCTTCCTCACAAAAGAAAAAAAAAAAGACTACCACAAACAAAAAGACAATTTAGTAAAGTGAGTACAAATATAACATAAAAATTAACAGCTTTGCTATATCCATGTACACAGCTGGAACATATAATGGGAGAAAACATCCATTTATAATTTTAACAAAAAAGTGTATCTAGAAATAAATGTAACAGGAAATGTGGAATATAGAGATGAAGAAAATGGTAAAATATTACTGAATGACATAAAAGAGGACTTGAATAGGGACACTAAGTATTTTTAGCTGTCACTTATTCCCAGATTAACTTTTGAATTTAACTCTATTCCAAGAAAAATATTAATACCAGCATTATTTTGGCAAACTGTGATTATAGTGTTTATAGAGATAAACATAAATAAGAATAGTTCTATCAGATATTAAAACATATTATAAGTCTACACTAAATAAAACAGTTTGTGACTGGTACATGTGTAGGCAGATCAATGAAACCAAGTAGAGAGCCCAGAAATAGATCCAATATATATCTGTCACTATGGTTGGGATAGAGACAGAATTTCCAGTCAGTGAGAAAAAGAAAATTATTCAATAAATGGCCTTAGGCAATTGACTAACCATTATGGGGGAGGAGAATCAGAATTGAATTGCTGTCTTTCATTACACCAAAATAAACTCCATGGGTCAAGTATTTATGTAAAAAATGGAATTATAAAATTATTAGAAAAAAACAGAATTAAAAGAAAATTATCTCACAATAGAGAATGCTTTTCTTTTTTCCCCCTAACTGTATTGAGGAATAATTGACAAAATTAATTGTATATATTTAAGGTGTACATTGTGATGCTTTGATATACATATACATTGTGGAATGATTATCAAGATCAAGATAATTAACACATCCATCACCTCACATAGTTAACTCTTTTTTTTTGTGGTGAGAGTGCTTAAGATCTATGGTCAGCAACTTTCAAGTATACAATACCGAATTATTAGCTGTAGTCACCATGCTGTACATTAGATCCTCAGAACTTATTCTTCTTGAAACTGAAAGTTCATACTCTTCAACCTACAGTTCCCCATTTGCCCCTCCCCCCAGCCCCTGGCAACCACCATTCTATTCTCTGTTTCTCTGAAATTGGCTTTTTTTTTTTTGATTCCAATATAAGTGATACCATACCATATTTGTCTTTCTCTGTCTGCCTTATTTCACTTAGCATAATAACCTCCAGGTTCACCATCTTATCACAAATGACAGGATTTCCTTCCTTTTTATGGATGAATAATATTCCATTATATGTATATATACACCACATCTTTCTTATCCATTCATCTTTTGGTGGACACAGGTTGTTTCTGTATCTTGGCTATTATGAATAATGCTGCAATGTAAATGGGAGTGCAGATATCTCTTTGTGATCGTGATTTCATTTCCTTCGGGTGAATACCCAGACATGAAATTGCTGAACCATATGGTAATTCTATTTTTAATTCTTCGAGGAACCTCTATACTGTTTTCCATAGTGGCTGCACCAGTTTACATTCACGTCAACGGTGCACAAGGGTTCCCTTTTCTCTGCATTCTGGACAACGCTTGTTATCTCTTGTCTTTTTGATGATAGCTGTTCTGACAGCTGTGAGGTGATATCTCATTGTGGTTTTGATTTTGCATTTCCCTGATAATGATGATGTCGAACACCTTTTTATATACCTATTGGCCGTTTAATGTCTTCTTTGGAAAAATGTCTTTTCAAGTCCTTTGCTCATTTTTTAATTGGATTATTTGCTTTTTTGCCATTGAGTTATATGAGGGAATGCTTTTCTCTACAACACAGAAATACTCAGAACACAAAAAGATTAATAAATTTGACTTTAAAAATTTTGTATGGTGAAAATACTGTGAACAAAGTCAAAAGGCAAGCAATCTGGGAAAAATTATTTGCCTCATGTAACAAAGGGGACATTTTCTTAATATACTCTTTGTTGTAGCATTTATATAATAACAAAATACTGGAAAAAACCCAAATATCCATCCATAAAGATTTAGTTAAATAAATTATGGTACATCCATATAGCCCTTAAAAATGCCAACATGGAGGGCAGACCCAGTGGCGCAAGTGGTTAAGTGCGCATGCTCCGTTTCCCCAGCCTGAGGTTTGCCAGTTGAGATCCCAGGCGTGCACTGACGCACTGCTTGTCAGGCCATGCTGTGGCGGCATCCCATATAAAGTGGAGGAAGATGGGCACGGATGTTAGCCCAGGGCCAGTCTTCCTCAGCAAAAGAGAGGAGGATTGGCAGATGTTAGCTCAGGGACGATCTTCCTCACACACACAAAAAAAATGCCAACATGGAAAACTCTTTAAGACAAATTTTTTAGTTAGATAAATTAAGATGCAGAAGAATATATAATAGTGTGTTACCATTTGTATGAAATAATTTTAGAAAGAGTTATAAAAATAAAAATTGGTGGAAAATAAAAATTGAAAAATGTAATCCAGTGAAAGGTAAACATTTAATAAGGGATATATATACACACACATATGATCATGTATGTATAGACTATCTCTAGGAGGCTATGCAAGAAACTGCTTTTGGGGGATGCACCTGCTAAGGTAACTAGGACCAGGTTGGCAGGGATACTTACTTTTCATTGTATAATCTTTATACATACACACACACAACTGTGGATTCAAAATATTTGTTACTTGAAAAATAGTCCTGCTATAGTTTAAGACACTAGAGGGTGCTGTAAGAACATGTTTGAATAGACCCTCACTTGCCAAATATCAAGTGTAGTAGAAGTGATTTTAAGGACCATGTTCGGAAGTTTAGTTATAGTTGACCTGTGTTCGTTTTCTTTTCTTAGCCTACATGTATGCAGCTTCCAGAGGAACTGCTTCAACTCAAGGACTTCCAGAAGCAGCGCAGAGAGAGAGCTGCAAAAGAGTATAAGGTGAATGCACAGGGACTCCTAATAAGGACAGTGCTGCCTCCAAAGAAGTCAGTGACAGAGAGAGCAGGGAAAGAGGGGAAAGTAAGAGGTTTCTTACTTTGTGAAAATTCTAGGCCAGATAAAGCTCCAAATTTTATGTTTCACAAGGACGTAAATTTGCTGACAGAGGAATCTAAGAGTAAACAAACTACAGTAGAACCTCAACATCTGCCGCCCTTAAAGGAAGAAGCCAGTGAGGATTCCAGTAACAAACTCACTTGCCCTGAGTCAGAGGGGTTGGAGGACCAGAAAATAACTCAAAAAGAACACCTTGAGGTACCCAAACAGGAGTTTCAGACAAGTTTATCTCTGAAAGAGGAGATAGAACAGTTACTGACGATGAAAAACAAGGAAGATCTAAAATGTGCAAAACAAGATGTTTCCGTGTCTCCATCCCTTCCTCAGGAAACCAGAGTGTCTCCAAGTGACACCTTTCCTCCTTTTAGAAAAGCTGTGCGTCCCACACTTCCTCCCTGTCCAGCCTTGGAGAAGACTGACTCCTGGATAAACCCTTCTCCAAATCTGCCTTAGAGATCCGAAATGTGTTCCTAAGGCCATCAAGGTGGCTCATTTCCCCTGCCATCAGGGCCTTCCTCGGTGCTTATGTTTCTCATGTTGTAAATTTAGTTATGCCCTGATGACAGGCTTCAGGGAAAGTTGTGTCCCCTTGCTTACTCCTGCATTCCTGGAATTTGATTAGGATGGGAATGAATAAGTTAAAGGAAGAAGTAAATTTTCTAATTATGTCACTGTGCAGAAATGTTCCCAGTGGCCAGAGTGAATTATTTCTTATAATTTTGGTTTGGAGGATTTGAAGAAGAGAAAAATGTTGGGCTTAGTATCTGAAAGAATTTAGACTTTTAAAATTTTGCTGTGTTTTTTGGTTTGAAGGAGGTCGGTAAAACTCTTAGCCATAAGTTTAAAAAAATTGGTACCTGACAATTTTACCAGTACTTTTTTCCTTTTTAAAATAGTATTAACTTTATCAATTATACCTCAGTAAAGCTGAAAAAAATATTAGCTTTATTTTTTAATTTTGAATGTTTTGTCTCACAAATATTATTATAGGAATCAATATCCCAGTTTTAATTTCTTTTCATTCTGTTTACTTTTAGAAGATTTTGTCTGTTTTCCTAACAAAGGAGGGATTTGAGTATGTCTATTACATAAACTTGAAGTTTGATTCTACTCTGTCTGCCTGGAGTTGGTGTACTTTCTTAGGGTGAAAGGAAGGCAGCTTGTACTGAGCCTTTTTTTAATGAATGCTTGCAAGTTGCTCACATTCTTCTGTGTAAAATGACCAATGAACCTGTTTTGGCATTAGGTTCTCTCTCATTTTTCTTCATTGGGTCAAGGTAAGAAATAAATTGGAATATGTCTGAATTTCTCGGTCTACAGTCCAATTTAGAAGTCTGTAATTTGACCATTATGCAGGACTCTATTACTTATTGCACTTAGGGGAAACTTAGGGACAGTCTACAGTTAGGAACGTCTTGTCTACACTCACCGATTCTGCTGTCAGTGCCACTGAAAGAAGAGCTGTGCCCTTCCAACTCCGGAGCCCAGATCTAGCCTCAGCTTGAGATGAGGCAGGCCCAAGAGCAGTCAGCTCAGCCCTGCCGTTGCCGTGACTCACTTTGTCCTTAGTTTAGAAGGTCACTTGGGGCCAAAGTGGTTTCTGGTTCATCATGGGTAAATGCATCTTCAGGCTGAGCCCAGAATGTGGTTAATCTGGGTTTACTCTGGAAAAGGCACGAACTCCTGTAAAATCCCTAGATGTTATTTAGCTTCTTATGGAACCATTAAGTTACCACACACAACATATATACATACAGGCTACAAAGAAAAATGTAATCTTCTTCATATTTAAAAAAAGGATTCTTCTTTCATCATGTATGTTTCGTGACTATACTTAAAAAGAACAATAGAACTGTGTTGGACCTTTGTTGCGCTGCTCAGTATGGTAGCCACTAGCCATATGTGGCTATTTAAAATTAAATTAATTAAAATGAAGCACAATTAAAAATTCAGTTCCTCAGTTGCACTTGCCATATTTCCAGTACTTAATAGTCCCATGTGCCCAGTGGCTACTGTATTGAACATTGTGGATATAGAACATTTCCATCATTTCAGAAAGTTCTGTTGGACAGTGCTATTTGAGAAGTACGTTGACTCCCAAAACTAAATGAGCCTTCTGGATTTCATCACATTATTTTCTCAGTGAAACACTCATATACCTGGAACTGCATTTTTCTCTACATCCTCATTCTAGCCTGGAGAGCCTAACTAAATTCCATGTGTGCAGTCAGATCTTACCATGAAGCTCTGTCCTTTATTGATAGAGTGTAAAAAATCCCTGGGTTGTTCAAGCCCTGTTGCTAGAGCTCTGTGCCATTACTCAGATTTCTTGTCTAAATTTTGCCCAGAATTTTGGGAAATCCTGAGTTCTTGTCCTACCCATTGTTGAGGTCTTTAGTTATTCTGTATTTTTCTAGTTGAGAGTACATAAACCATACTGCCTGCTTTCCCAAACTCTTGGGGTCTTGCCTCAGTCTATGCTAATTTCCTGCATCTGTCCTACTCAAGTCTGGCCTTTCCCTTACATGACCTGCAATTAAGAGATGCTTATATGTAATCTGACCTTTTAGTTTGGGAATTAGGAAACAGAGTTAAATGTCTTCCCTGAACAAAAATGTAGCACTGAGAATAGAACCAGTGTTTCTTGCTTCTTGGTCCATTCAGTGTTCCTTCAACTACAGTATGAAAAATCACTGCAGCAGCTCTGCCTCCAGTCTAGCTGTGGACTTGATAAATCCTAACATGACACAATAGGATTTTAGGCCTCTCGGCGTTTTGACCCAAGGCAAGTGCCAGCAGCAAAGCAGCAAGCTGAGATGAGGCCTGAGGCAAACGAGGGGGCCGAGGGGCAGTTAGCCAGGTATACTTATCAAAAAGGTGTTTATTATAAAGTAAAGACCTTACAGAAAATTTAGGAAGTAAAGAGAAAAAAATACTCAGCTATCATCCCACATTATACAACCTTTCCTAGCATTTTGGCATTTTTCTTTTAATTTTCTTCTCTCTCCTTCTTTCTGTCTGCACACACACACGAAACATAGTCACAACCATACCGTAAATACACTTAATGTGCTTTTTATATCATGTATTTTTCCATTTTATAATCTAACAGATAACATTTTTAACAGATGTTTCATTTTTTTTTTTTTTAAAGATTTTTATTTATTTATTTTTCCCCCAAAGCCCCAGTAGATAGTTGTATGTCGTAGCTGCACATCCATTCTAGTTGCTGTATGTGGGACGCGGCCTCAGCATGGCCGGAGAAACGGTGCGTCGGTGCTCGCCCGGGATCCGAACCCGGGCCGCCAGCAGCGGAGCGCACGCACTTAACCGCTAAGCCACGGGGCCGGCCCGGATGTTTCATTTTAAAACTAATATGCTATTAAATAGAATTTGGAAAATAAGAAAAAATTTACTCATTTCTCTAACCCAACAGAAAAAGCAGGTAACATTTTTGTTAATTCCAATGTTTATGCATGGCTTTTCCCCACTTTGTACTTGTAATCATACCTATATGTATATATCCTGCTTTATGAATGTTTTCTTTTCTTTTCTTTTTTTTTTTGTGAGGAAGATCAGCCCTGAGCTAACATCTGATGCCAATCCTTCTCTTTTTGCTGAGGAAGATTGGCCCTGGGCTAACATCCGTGTCCATCTTCCTCTCCTTTACATGGGACGCCGCCACAGCATGGCTTGACAAAGCAGTGTGTCGGTGCGTGCCCAGGATCTGAACCTGTGAACCCCGGGCCGCCACAGTGGAGCACGTGCACTTAACTGCTGCACCACCGGGCTGGCCCCTATGAATGTTTTCTTATGCTGTTACACAACCTTTGTAAATATTTTTAATGACTGCATAATATTTTTAAGAGGACACAGTATGGTTTATTTAATTGCATTTTGGTACATTCAGATTGTTTCCAATTCCTTATTTCATGCTTTTTTAAAGCTTATTTCAAAGCTTTTTCCATGTTTTGAATCATTCTTTTTACAATGAAATTCCAGAAATAGAATTTGCAGGTCAAAGTTTTCTTGTTTTTGTTTTTACAAATTTTTTACAGGTATTGCTAAATTATTTTCCAAAAGTGTTAACCAACCAATTATATTGCCACTTCCAATTTTTGTAGTAATAGTGCACCATTGAGAGCATTAGATTTTTTTCTTGGGAGGCATGGCATACTTTGACTTTCAAAATTCTAACTTCTGGGGCCGGCCCTGTGGCTTGGTGGTTAAGTGCGCGCGCTGCGATGCTGGTGGCCCGGGTTCGGATCCCGGGTGTGCATCGAGGCACCACTTCTCCGTTCATCCTGAGGCCGAGTCCCACATACTATCCACTGGGGCTTTGGGGGGAAAAATAAAATAAATAAAATCTTTAAAAAAAAAAAAAAAAAAAAAATTCTAACTTCTTCATCCATAGATCTGAAAGGCTTTCTGTCATTTTTTGTAACTTACCTGCACTAGGTACTATGAAGATTAATGAGAACAGAAATATTGGGAACATTTGAATCCTGATAAATGTCCCTGATCTCTAAGTAATGACAATATTATGGGTCAAATATATTAATCATAGAACCCTAAAATAAAACCAAAGTCTTTATACTCATGATAAAAGGTGTCTTTGAAATGTCTTCAGACCTCTCATCAGGGATATCGTAGAAAATGATGTTGATTGTTACATTAAACGAATCTTAGCTAAATTGGTAGGTTCACCCTAAGACACAATTTAACACATTCTATTCCCCATACTCATAGGATTTGAGCCTGTGACTCTGCAATTTAATAGACCTCCTCAAACAGGAAGAGCTGTCAAGTTGTAATCAAGGCATAATCAGCAACTGGATCTTAAAATAACAGAAGTCATTGCAAAAAAAAAATGTCTGATCTATGCTTCAATTTACTCAGTCACGAACAGCATTTCTTAAACAATGGAATAGAATAGAAAATATCAGAGTGCATTGCATATAGCAAGAGAAAGTATCATTTTGTGAAACTTTTTTTTTCTCAGTTGTGTGCCTGGGGTTTGTGTGCTTTTACTGTTGGTTGCAGTGAAAAACAGATACAGATAAGTATAGAAGGAAATTTATATGTTTAAATGCTTATACAATTAAACAAGAAAGATCTAAAACCAATGATCTCAACTTCTACCTTAAGATAGAAAAATAAGAGTAAATAAAACTTGGGGTAAGTAGAAGGATGAAGCAAATAATGATAAGAGTAGAAATCAATAAAATTAAATGTGGACAGAGAAAATCAATAAAACCAAAACCTAGTTCTTTGAAAATATCAATACAATTGCTAAACCTTTAACCATACTGATCAAGGTAAAAAAAAAATAGATACAAATTACCAATATCAGGAATAAAAGAGAGATTATTGTTAGAGATCCTACATATATTAAAAGGATAACAAGAGACTACTATGAACAGTTCTATGCCCACAAATTGAACAACGTAGTTGAAATGGACAAATTCATTGAAAAACACAAGTTACCAAAACTGATTTAAGAAGAAATAGAAAACCTGAGTAGCCCTAAATCAATTAAACAAATTTAATTCATAATTTAAAACCTTTCCTAAAGCAAACTTTGTACCTAGATAGCTTTACAAATGAATTTCTATCTAGGGAAGCAATAACACCAATCCTTTCAGGAAATGAAAAAGGAAGGGTCACTTCCCAACTCATTTTATGAGGCCTGCATTACCCTGATACCAAAACCAGACAATATTGCAAGAAAAGAAAACTATAGACTAATATCCCTCATGAGCCTAGATGCATGTGTCCTTAACAAAATATTAGCTAAAAGAATCCAGAAATATATAAAAAGGATAATACGTCATGACCAAATGAAGTTTATCGCAG